AATTTGTCCAATTTGGTGGTTTGATTGGCTATCTTAGGTGTGATCTCAGGTGGATGCAAAAGTTGAGTAAGGCTGACTAGGGGCAGTCTTTTTGGATCATGTTTCTATATGAGTTGAAGTCGATTACCAAATAAATCTTGAGCTTGCCTAGGTCTAGATTTTAAAACCTAGATTTTAAAACCAAGGAGTCTGAATTCCTGTAGCTCGCTTATCTATTCTACGTATTATTTTCAATGAAATGAATTCCAGCTGAAATCATAATAGTAAATATTCAACATAAATTGATAAAGTGAAGGATGGCGAGCCTGAAGACGAGCAGTCAATATGAGTAGAGATGCCTGGAGAATTCTATGTAAAAGCCTTTGAAAATCAAATTTTAAAATTATTCTTAAGCTTCATGTCAATTTCTCTTGCTTTAATTACACTTTTCTATTTACTATATAAATTTTCAATAAATACATAAATTTTTTAGCCATTTCTCCCGTTATTCAGGCAATCGGTGAGCTTTTTTCCGACAGCGGCGCCCAAGTGCATTTATCCGAATCAATATGCAATATTAACAATATTTGCCGTAGCCACAGGTAACAGATTTCAAAAACTGGCAACACGAAATGCCACTCATAAGAGCAGCACGGAAGCCACATAACAATTTTGTGTGTTTGTCTCCCACTGTAGGAAGCAGCTCAACCGTAAAAAGCGCAAAACTGGGTTAGCTGTCGAGATTTGCCCAACACTGACTGCGCCAACAACAAAAACAACAGCAACAACCGCCAGTTGAGGTATATACAGGAACGGGAATATTGACAGTCCATACCCATCACAGAATGAAGCATTTGGGATTGGCAATGCATTTGGAATTGAGCGGGCCAGCAACGGCAACAAAAAGAAAACTGAAAAAAAGGAAAGGAAAAGCTAAAAACTCACGAGCTGCAGCTGAACGCTGGCAGCGAAGCGAAAATAGCGGGCAATGCGAGCCGATGCTGCCACGCCCTGGCCAGCCCCCCGCCCAGCCGAACATGCTGCTGCATATACGTCAAGTGAACTGGAAGTGATATGGCAGCATAGCGCAGCGGGACAAGCCCGAAAGCGAAGGACGAGCGTGTTCACGTGCAAAATTGCAGCCATTCCCAAACGGTTTGCATCCTTTTCATTTTAATTTTTTTTTTTTTTTTTTTGTACCCCCATCTGCTGCTGCTCTCTTTGTGCTCTGCTGCCGCTCAAAATCAAATTCACTCTGTGCATGGGTGTGTGGGTGTGCGTGAGTGTGTGTGTGCGGGTGTGGGTTATTTGAGCATCATTTTGAGTGTGATCGATGGCTTCGCTTGCTGGCAGGACATGCAGCCAATGGGCCTCGATTTTAATCAGCAACTGAAAGCCGATCGGCAGCCGAGCTGAGCGGAGCCCCGCACTGCCGACAATGACAACGACTGATATCCTTGCGGTTTTGCATTGCGCCGTGGCAGGCATTTATCTCACGCACACACACACACACATACACACACTCGTATAGCCTTGCAGCTGGTCATGCACTTCCGCTTCCGCTTGGCGGGCAAAGAAACACCACACTGGACACTGGCCCCATCTTCAACCTCAGCCAATGGGTGGCAAGTGTGCCTCAGACGTAGCGCTGATTGTTTGCCCACGTTGCAATGCCACTAAATTGTTTGTCTTGTGTGTGTATATATCTCTCTCGGTATGTATGTATGCGTGTTTGTGTGTGTGTGTTTGCATGCAATGCCATTAACAATACGCCCAATGCCAAAACGGGCAAACGCGCCAAAGCCATTGTTATTTCGGCGGTCGATTGTTGTTCTTCCGGCTTGCGTGAGCTTACCCCAAGCCCAGAGCCCCACCACACCCCCTCCTCTGCAGCCGCAAATTGTGCAAACAAGCGTGGGAACGAGTCAGAGCGAGTGAGTAAAAGAGAGAGAGAGAGAGAGAGAGAGTGAGAGAGAGAAAAGGATGCTCGATGCAAAACTTGTGCCACAAATCGCTTCGAATTTTGTTGCTGGTTCGGTTTTTGGGTTTGTTGCTATTGTTGTTGTTGTAGTTGTTGTTGTTGTTGTTATCGTTGTTGCTCTATTTGATTGGGAGTCTGTTCTGGGCTGAAGTTGTTTTTTCAGCTCGGTTTGCTCTCGACTGCAATAATCTTATTAGCAGTTTGTTGTTCGAACCTAATCAATTACCAACGTAATTACAAACTTTGCTAATCTGCTTAGCGCCCAGCACATGCACGGCAAACAGAGCACCGAGTGGAGCCAGGGCATGATAACAGTTAGAGTAGACGGGATAGAGGGCAGTTTGAGTGGCATCAAGACCTATTGAACCCTATGCCGCGAATTTACGTTTATGACCACTATTGGCCACAGATGCCCGTGCTCGGCTGCTGCTGATAGCCAAATTGCTATTAAGCGAGCCGCTCCAGGAAAAGAGAAAGAATTTGAAAATTCAATTGGACTTTTGGCATAATGTGAAATGTGATTGAATATGCAGTTGAATTTCATATAAACTGGAGTATGAAATTAATGGTTTCTCTCTCTTTAGGCATAAGTATGCCTCGTCTATTACACTTACCACATTTAATGGACAGATTTTAAATACACATGTTAAATACGACAATTGTTGAGGCGTAGACTTTGACTTCAAACTAGCTGTGGGAAATTCATCAGCTATGTTTAAAACTCTGCTCTCTGTCCAGCAACTACCCCTACGTCTTCCATGGCAGCTTAAGCTCGGCAGGTGACTCAATAGACAAGCTCGATTAGTGCTCATCGCTATGGCAGGAATATCGCTCTGAAGGTGCTCGTTCACTTACTGTCTTCACATACTGTGAACAGAGCAAAGTCATTGTTAAATTAAAACCAAACCCGATCAGTTGTACTATAATTGGTTATTCCACGATTGAACAGGTCATTATGTTTTGCCGTCCAAGTAAACTTAAATTTTACGAAAACAAATCCCGAAAATTCCCATAAAATCTTACTCACCAGCATATAAAATTAATTTCTATCAATAAATAAAATATCAGCCAAGCCTGTCACTTACAATGTTCGAATATTCGATACACAGCGATTGGCATACAAGCACCAGCAAGGGTTTTTCGGCTTTCGTCTGAGGAAAAAAATCAACTTGAATTTTTGTCTGCTCACCATGATTCAATAGTTCTGCTTCTTCATCGGTTTTATCTTATGTGGATTTAACGCTCATCTGAAGCCGAAAAAATAAATCATTTGACAGGATAAGAACAAGTCCTTCGGGTACCTCTGTTGTTGTTGTTGAACTAAGCATGGCAAAAATACCAAAAACTTTTGTCGTAGTCAAAAGCCAAAATATTTGAATATGCCAAAACAAAATTAATACCGTGTGCTGTGCCTCTATGCCCCCCCTTGCTGCAATTCTATCTGTGAGTGGCAACTCCCAAGGCCCTCATACGTTAGATTTTTGCCTTTTGCTGCCAACAACAGCAGCAGCAGCAGCAAACTTTTCCACGCATGATTTAAATGGAAATAAATCTTGCGTTAAGATTCGACTTTGGATTTGGATTATGCAACGACGGTGGAGACGTCTGGCCCACACGCGCACACACACACAAATCCAACCAGAGCTGTAGACGGCAAGTGAATGGATGGATGCTGCATGCAGATGGATCTCAATTCGTTGGCATTTCTTGGGGCACTGCTGCGTCACGTAGTTGGTAAATTTGTTTACATGTTGCCGTCGTCGGGCAATATACGCCTCGTAACTCCCACTGCATATAGACACCTTCTCCCTCGCCTACGTCTACAATTGGCATAAACTTTTTCATATGCAAATCGCAAGTTTAGCAAAATATTTCGTTTATTGTTGAAGTTTTCCTTAGTTGCTCGTCAACATTATGTAGACACACACACACATACAAAATACGTGTATGTTTTTTGGCAATGCTAAAGTTAGCTAAAAAGTTTTGCAACTAACCAAAGAATTTGATAAATTGCGCTAGACTAGCGTAAGCAGCTGCCAAATCTAGGTTTATCTGCTAGCAAACCAATTCAGCTAGAAAATAATTCAAGTTCTTTTTTTTTTTTTTTTTTTTTAGTATTTAATATAAAAAATTCATGACACCTTTTTATTGATTTTAGTTGTGAGATGTGTGTGTGTGTGTGAGTGTTTGTTTTATACACCAATATACAATAATGCATATATACATCTATATATATATACTTATATTTATCCACTTAGCTAACTGCGTTTTATCACTAGATTTTTACGTTCTCGCTTTCGATTTTTTTTGCTTAAATCGAAGTCAGCAAATCATTAATATTATAATTATTATTTGTTTTTGTTGTTGTTTTATTTTGCGCACATACTTTTATAGACTTAAATTTAATCAATTAGAACACACACAGCCTTGCTTTGTTTCTCTAAAAAATTACACTTACAATTTCTAGTTAATTACAATTAATTACACATCGACAAAAACGCTTAATCTTTAATTACAATTTATATGCGTTTCAAATGTCACTGAAAAAAAGCATATTTTTTTTTTTTTTAATTAAAAGCCACATTCAGATGGTTACATAAAATGCACACAGTTAGAGTTACACCTATAGCTTACTATATAATATATATAATTAAATAATTACTACAATACTTGATGAAATAAATTAGGTAAATAAATATTGCAGCAATATATGTAAATATACGTCATAGAAATAATAGTATGCTACCTAAGAAGCCCGAATATTATTTCAGTGACTCAATTGGCTTTAAAGCTTGCCAGGTGATTAGATGGCAGCTCTAATGCGAATGGAATGGCAACTCTGCCCAATTGTTATTCCAAAACTTTGATTTGTCAATGCTTTTTTTTCTGTATTGTTACAAAATTTTAAACAAATCATAAAAACACACAATTTATGCTAGATTTATATTATTTTTCACGTCACGTCTTTTCTGTATTCTTTTTCTCGTTTTTTTTTCTTTTTTTTTTTTTCCTTCTTTTTTGTTTATTTAAATATATATAATAAAAGTTTTTGCTTTGCAAGCTTTATTAAAATGGCATAATGCTGCGCTATCTTACAATTATCCTCTATATAAGGTGTTGTCTAAATGTGTTTTTCATGCTCATTGTTCAACTTTTTTTTTTGTCGTTTTTGTGTGTGTGTGTGTGATACTTTGTGTTTTTTTTTGTTTTTTGTTTTTGTTTTTTTTTTACAAACAGTTTATGTATACAAGGCTATAAAAATTTACACTTGTTGCGAATTTCTATGTATGACAGCAATTTGATGGGCAGCATAGTATGTACAATATAAATGGGACCAAAGTGCTATACAGAACGACGGCAAACAACTGAAAGCAAAAAAGAATTATATAGAAAATTTAAATATATATATAAATTAGTTTTTGAAAGTCGCTCACCTTTTGACTCGTTAGCAGCATCACTTTACTTGGCCTTCGAAATAATTTGGTTGAAATTAGACATATTCTAGGGCAACTCGAAGAAACGTTTACTTAGATTCTGAATAGAATAGAGAAAAAAAAAATTAATAAGAGCAGCAAAAATTTTAAAATGATTTCAAGCAGATGAATAAATAAATAAAGACACCAAATTGCGTTCATGTGCATTTTGAAACAGAAAACAAAACTTTATTTGTATATTTAAATAAGAATGTGTTATGTGTATACATATGTGAGTGTGCAGTGTATGTGTGTGTAGAGTGTGTGTAAATATTTTACATAAACAAAACTTTGCTCTACATAAACTAATGCAAAATATATAAATCTAAAAAAATCTAAACAAGATGAAAATGGAAACATTTTTAGATGAGTACAGAAAAACTACACTGATTTAAATAAAAGTGGGTTTACTTTAATAATAAGTGAATAAAAATAAAACGAGTTCCAAAAAAAATATTTTATTTGCTGAAATTATAAAAAAAAAAATATATATATATTTATATATTGTATTTTTTATTCTCTCACAGCAACACTAAACAATTTTGTAGCTCAGTAAATAAAAATTAAAGCTAAACGAAATATATAATAATAAATGATTGAGTAAGGATAATTAAGTATAACAAAAACATTGTTTTTTTCCATTCAGTACAAATAAAAAATGTTGGATAATTTTGTTTGTTTTAACAATTCAGTTTGGCATTAAAAACTAAAATATTCATATACGCATTTGCATATAAAAAGATAATCCATTTAACAAAAAGTAACCAATATATTAATATATATTTTATATAGTGTATATATAATAATGTTTAGTTGAGAACTTCAGATATTCAACAAACATTCAAAACAACTTGTGACTTGCAACATCATGAGATGAACAAATGAAACAGAGACAAGTGTGAATTGTTCAAAATTGATTTAAATTTAGAGGTTTTTTTTTTTTTTTTTTTTTTTTTTTTTTTTTTTTTTTAACTTAAAAGCTAACAGTTGAAACAGATTAAATATATATGTGTGTCATATTTTCGAAATAGAAAAAAAGAGTGTACAAAAAAATTAATTGTTAAAATATGTTTTAACTGTGCGACAACAGCTTAAAAAATATAGATATTGAATTGTGTCGTTAAATTTGTTGCGAAAATAACTTCAAAGCGTAACAAACAGAAAGTGTTTCGACAAAACTAAACGCTAAATTAAGGCACTAAAATTATAGGGTATCTATAGATGTAGTAGGTTTTCTTGTTTTGTTTGACTTCAACATTTAACGTGCAAAATATATATTTGCTGTCTCTTTTTTTTGGCACAAATTCATGTCTTTTTTCAATTGATTATTTTTTTATGTATATATATATTTTTTTTTTAGATTTTTCATAGGGTATACGTACAACGTAGGGTTCTTGACTTTGTTGATTACTTTAAACGCGCGCGCTCCACACGGGTAACTCTTCATTGGACTACTCCATTTGACAATTTAGTTCGAGCTGGTATATTTTTTCAAGGGTAAACATTTCTTATTGTTGCTCTTTTATCTATAGTTGTTGTTGTTAGTATAAGTTTGTTAAGTTGGTTCCTGCAGCTGGATTCTTCTCCATTTTAGTTTTTCTATTACTCTCCCACACTCTCTCTTTCTAATCTTCCTCTCTGTTCTCATTGAAGCGCTCCCGCTTTTCTTCGTCCTAGTACGGTTTGGATGCATCCTTGGGCTTCTTCAATTGCACCTTCAAACGCTTCGTGCCCACCTGAAAGCCGTTCATTGACTTAATGGCCATCTGTGCCGACTCCGGATTATCGAAGGAAACGAAACCGAAACATTTCGAGAGACTCGTCTGCTTATCAATGAACACCTTTGCCGAGATAACGTTCCCAAATGGCAAGAAAGTTGAAGCCAAATCGGTGTCGGTAAACTCCTGTGGCAAGTGATAGATAAACAGATTGCAGCCTTCAGGACCTGTAAGAAGGATAAAGCATAAAGGCAATGAGCAAATGAAAATTTAAATATTTTATAACTTTTGCCTTCAAACATAATAAGTATTACGAAAAATCCTCCTTTTTTATCCCATTCAAAATTTTATATATTTTAATATTTTCTCATTACAAGTTTTCTGCAAAGTAAACTCTTAATACACATGAGTAAGCACACACAAATATGAATGCTATAACTGCCTGCCATCAGGCACCTCTAATTTGGCACTTTATCTAGCCCCTACTTAAGGTCATTTCATCTCTTGTCCACTGGTTCAATCAGCAGTCGTTTTTAGGGGTCTTCATCTCAGGGTCTTATCTTTGCAATGAGCAATTAATTTACCTTACACACACGTCTGACTGTCCACACACACGCACACACACACACATGCTAGTCCTCTCCTTTTACACACACACACACACAGACACACACGTAAAGTTCTGGCATAATGACAGATGCTCAAATGAGCTGAAATTTGAGCAGACAAAAGCTAAAATTATATGTACTCAGTGGGCAAGACGAGACCGGTACGAAGGGCAGCCGGCGCACGAGAGGCTGATTGCCAAAGCGGATGCGGAAATGATGCGCCCAAGTGCTCGGCTGTGTGAGAGTGAGTATGTGAGTGAGTGTGTGTGTGTGTTGGTGTGTGTGTGTGGGTGTGGAGGCGTGTCACATTTTGTTTAGCAGCACGTGCCGCCAACTGTCGCTGGAATCGCATATTAACAGCTGCGCTCTCGTCAACGGCTTCGTCCTGCTGCGGTTTGCACTTTTCGTGCAAATTACTGTCAATGTCCGCAGCAGCCAGCCAGCCATCCAGACAGCAGCCCGTAAATGCAGTAGCAGTAGAAAGACTCCTTGTTGTTTGTGTTGTTGTTGTTGTTGTTGTAGGTGCTGCCATTAGGTTTTCACTTTCGAGCTGCTTTTAATGACGCTCTAAGTAGCAGTTGGCAGTTGACATTTTGCGGTCTGTCAATTTGCCAGGGCGCATTACTTCTGCTAATAGCCAAACAATTTGTTAAGAAGCTGCAGTTAAGATCGGCAATGACTTTTGAAGATGTATGACTTATATAAGCATATATATTATTAACCTTACTAACCAACTTCATATACTTCATATTACAACTTTTCATATATAGAAAAAAAAACTAAGATTAGCTAAATTTCATAAAAATTTTACTGCGATTTTCTTAAAATTTCCAATATTAATTAAGTATCGAAAAATGGATATAATCGATGTTTGGGTATACTTAAACAGGATAGAAATTCCAAATAAAGTTGTAAACCAAAATAAAACATATCTTTCGCTTCTGCAAGATATGCTTAGATAATATAAATGAATTCTCACTCCATAAAAATTCCCTTAAGTATTATAGATTTTGGTAATTTTGCGCAGAAACAGAAATAAATAATAAAGGAAATTAAATTTTATTTGCTTTCGCGTCTACCTTTTAATATAATGAACATGCCATCTATAAATAATTATCTTTCACTATAATCCTAACATTTAATTATTAAATGTTAGCCATAATCTCCTCATTTAACATGTTTTGTCAAAATTTCAGTATATAATCAAATCTTTGCATTTGTGGATTACTTTCAATATTATGAATTTGTAATTATTATATGTTATACCTATCATTTAATTATTAAAGTATTACCATAAGCTTCTCGTTTAACATCTATCCATCTCTCTCAATTATGGTAAACGTCTTAATTTAAATCTTTAAACAATTGCTATTGAAAATTTCTTTAGCTGGCTTTGTGCTATTGTAGACTTAGGCATTACCTCTACCCCATTCGGCACCCGTGTCGTATACGTAATTAATCTGTAAAGCCTGCACATCAACGCTATCATAAATGCATGGCCTAGGATAATAACAACAGCTACAACAACAACAACAATTTGCAATTTATGTACATGCCGACTTGATGCATGTGCCACGCCCACAATGCCCATAGTGCATGGCGCATTGTAATCAAATAACTTTGTATGAGTCCTCCATCCTAGCTGCTTTCGTTGCCGTTGCTATTGTTGTTGCTGTTATTGTTGTTGTTGTTGTTGTTGTTACTGTTGAGCTTGTCAACTTCATCATCGTTTGCCAGCAGCACTATTAATAACATAGATACATCTTTTGTCATCTTTGTCGCGAGTCGCAGTGCATCATGTACATGCCAAGCACTACGTGCCACACCCCAAACACCCGCACGCCTACACGCCCAAACAGCCAACGCCCGAATGCCCACTCCGTTTAGTTTGATTGAATTTCCAGGCACAAATCAAAGGACTTGGCTTACGGCCGCCTGCTGACGAGCCACAGCTCAAGTGAGTGACTGATGCGATTATAAAATGAAAGCACAAATTAAGAGGCGTTCACACTCGCCCCAACCCCCTCCTACTGTGCATGTGTATAGGATAGGAGGGAGGGGGAGCGAGGATTTGTTCATTGTTCCCAATATATGGCCTGCAGATATGCCCATGCAAATGCTTCTCTATATGCATTAATTGACTTGGCTTGTCTGTGAGCGTGTGCATGTGTGTGTGTGTGTGTGTGTTCTATTGCTTTGCCATTTTGCATAGACTCTGCAATTAATTTGATACACACTGACTTGGCTTTTGTTGTTAGTTAATTAAAGAGTGCTAAGTAATGCTTAAAAATGTTCCGCTTGCTCCTCATTGAATAAAGTGCCACGTGTGAGTCTCAAGTGGAATGATACAATAAAAAAGAAAATCCACAGCACCGAAAGCAGAGCACAAATACATAATTAGCAAAAGCTTCAATTTGTCGCTAGGACGACGACGACGAAGACGACAAAAGTTAGAGCGTGGCAATTGTCAATGTACTGAGAAAGATATAAAATTAACTTTTTATAGCATATTTTGCGAGCGCAAGGAAAACTGCGGAATCCAGAGAAATTTCAATTTTATGTGGAATTTTTGGCCAAATTTTAAGGTTTTAATATTATTTAACTGAAATTTCTGCACTTGGATTTACTGAATTTATAGATCAGCTTTAGCTCAATTTATCTTAGGTAGAATATTTTATGACACATCAAGGGCTTCAAGGTTTTGTTTATAAAGTAATCAATAATCATTTTAGCTGTTACTACTATATATTTTCTCGCATCTAACTGCTTGTTTGCAACAACCTAACCCTAACGTCTTTAAACGATTTCTCTTTGCCTTTTTTAAGCAGCTCTGGCAACAACAATAGCAAAAAGATTTTTCCAACATTTTTCATAGTTGGAGAAATCTGAAATCGAAGTTAAGGCTAGACAAGAAAAAAAAGTACATAAATAAATGCTGCAGATTTGTGCAATCTGTGTGTGGAGACGGCAACTGCAGCTGCGGGTGGCACAACAATGTCTGGGGGCAGATAAATTCTCAGCATGTGGAATTTATCAAATGACGACATGAGCATAAGCAGCAGCAGCAGCAGCAGCACGAGTAGCGGCAACAAAAAAGAATAGCAGAAGGGGAAGCAGCACGGGCACGGGCAGAAGAAGCAACAGTAACGGAGTAACAACAACAGGAAACAAGTTATAAGCATGTAGACAGGCGCAGACGACAGGCGCAAAATTAAGCAGGAAGCGTGCAAAAGGATGTGAGAGAAATAAAAATAAGAAAATACAAAATAAAATAAAATACTGCAACTAACCGGCTAAAGCAGTGGGTAGTAGGTACAGCTAGTGTATGTAGTAAATAAATATGCTTTAAATGCGAGGCCGTTGCAAGAGACAGCCGAATATGACACTGACAGAGGAGGGCGCCAAGCGGGGGTGAGAGCGTAAAAGATGGCAGCAGCAAGACAAACCCCCAAACGGATGCAGGCGGCTTAAAGTCATGTGCATAATCCGGAAGTTGGAATATAAAATAAGCAAGTGCAGGCATCCACGGCTCACACACACACACACACCACATAAACTGTGAGAGGAAGCAGGAGAGACAGAGACAGAGAGAGAGAGGATACGAAAGATTTGCGACAAGCTTGACTGTAACTGCGGATTGTCCAGTCGAATGCCACACAGTGAGCGATTATGAGCATAGGCATAGAAGCATAGAACATAGTGAACAAGCTAAAATGTACACTGAGAGAAATATACACAGAAATACTATGTATTAAAAAATTTTAAATAAAAAATTGAAAAAATAGAAACCAAGGTAGATCAAGCAAGATCTCTTTTGTTACTTTTGCAAGAACTCTCCTTTTAATATTTTAAAATTCTTCACTTTAACAAGGCAATCTCGCTCTTTAGCTTTTCATTTCACATAAGAAAACATGAAAATTTGTACATATTTCATACAGATAAATTTAATTATAATTATCTAAGTGACAATATTTTCAACGAATTGAATCCCACTTGAATCTTCTAGGATCTGGAGCAACATTGTGTCTGTGTGTGTGTGTGGCAATAAAATCAATAAAACTGTATGCAAGCCAGATGTTATGTTGCCATATAAATTCCATTTGGCTGGGCCATGCCCTTGAGAGCCGAATTGAAACGCGGGCAAAAAAAAAAAAAAAAAAAAAAAATTGGCAAAAAAAAGAAGAAAATGGCAAAAATTCTTGGCCTTCTGCTTGTTAGCAAACATGTTAGCAGTAGAAAGCGGGGGCATAAAGATATATATACTCCATATATATGTTCATATATCTAGTGTGTGACTGTGTGTGCATCAATAGGAAGCACAAGCTGGAGTAGACATGGAGACAAGAACTCGTAACGGATGCGGCATCTTTGCTCAGCGGAAGAGGAAAATGCAATATAGGAAATCGTTTTTCGCACACACATAAAACTACCGCCACACACTGCCACACACACACACACATACACATTCACACCCAACACAACACAACAAAAACAAAACAGGAAGTTTATTTGTGTCTGTGGGTAAAAAGGAGAAGAAGAAAAACTGCTGTGGCAAAATTTGTTACATATATAAAAGGGTCTTTTTTTATTCTATATTTTGTAGCGGGTTTTTCTGCGGCTTGCAGCGAGCTGCATTGGGGAATATTGTGCCCAACGTAATGATAATGATACCGAACCAACTGCATTTTTAAGCCAAAGACGCGACGTTATATTACATGCAGCAGTTAACAAGCTGCTTAACTCTATAGAGAATAAGGCGAGCGTGAATAATTCAAGAGATACAAATTAGAAGCATGCAAACGATAAAGTAAGGATAGCAAAGCAGAAGGAGAGAAACAATCATAACGTAGCATACGTAAGAAACTGGATGAACAAGATAAGCAATGAAAATATGCTTGGGCTAATGACAGGCGATTTGCGCGAGATATATTTAATATATTATATATATATTAATTATATTATTTAATGCAGGGCAATGGAGAAAATGATCAAAAGTAGGAGCATAGTTCTGTGTAAATTTGTAAATTTGTTACCTCAAGCTAATGAATCATATGCAAAACAAAACTCAATCTTAATATCCTTTTAAAGTCGGTAAATTTGTATTTAAGCTAAGCTCTTCTATTTGAATGGTGACTAAGAATCTCTCTCAGGACTCACCAGAAAGAAATTTGAAATACATGAATTATAGCATTACAAAAATCTCAAGAGCACAAATTTTAGTAAAAGGTTTTCTTTCAAATTTCATAAATTCTGAGTGTCCTTCATCAATTGAAGCTTCGCCTACATACTAAATATATTAGTCTACAACAATTTCTTTGCCTTTGTGTACATCATAAAGATATTAATAACAATATACAAATATAAACCCTAAAAGTTTTCCCATATCTAATCAATAATAGATAATGCTAAATCAATAGCCCAAAACTAAACTTTAACTCGATTAATTTCCGCTTTGTGATACGCACACACACATGCGCACACCGACAACGCTTTCCCACCTGCTGAAAAACTAATATGAGACTAATTATCCCCGCAAGTCCAACTTTTTGCCCACTTTATGGCATCAGGGGCAAAAAAAAAAAAAAAAAAAAAAGTATATATAGATATAATGCTCGAGTAGTTTAGTCCAAAATGCAGTCAAGTGTATAGAGAGCATAGAGGGGGGTCATATGAGGCATGAGGTGGACAGCATGTGCAGGGGGCGTAAACATGGCAGCTCGCATGTCGCATAACATGCGCAATTTGTTTGAATGTGGACGACTGATGCTCCAGTCATGTCTCTCTGTATGTGTGCTGCGCTTGTTGTGTATTTTTGTTGGCCACGAGGGAATTTTGCGGGCAACATCATGAGTCAGCAAAGCAAACAAGTCACACAGACGCGTACACACACAGTGAAAGAGAGATGAAGACGCAGCGGCAGCGGCAGCGGCGGCGGCGGCATCCACAAAAGTCAGTCAACTGCAAAAATATATACATACACATATAGCCCACATACATATACATATCAATATAACATATACATATGTATATGTATATTCATCGTATATATTTTATTTGGCATGGGGAATGCCGCCAGACGCCAAGCCAAGCGACCTCTGCCCCTCGTGCCCTCACTCAGTCTGTCTCTCTCTCCACTTTTCTGTCTCTTTCACTCACGTCTCACATTCTGACGACTGTTGCTTATGTAACCGGAAATATGGCAAAAAGTGCAACGCCAAAACATTTTCCGTTGCATTTTCCCCGAGCAGCAGCAGTGGCATTAGCAGCGGCATCAGCATCAGCGTCGTCATCGTCTTCGTCTTCGTTTTTGCTATCTGCTTAGCAGTGACTGCCCCTACTATTCTACTTCTATCCACACTCACATACCCACCCTAGCAGCACAGCTCCCCCCTTTTCCGCATATCACATGCAACTTTAATGTTATGTGTGCCAAAGCGCAATTCGCTGTTGGCGCTGCAGTTGATCTGTGTGTGGGTGTCAGAGAGCGTGTATGTGTGTGTGTGTGTGTGTGTGTACGTATGCTTAGAGGGTGGTGTCGAACACATTGCAATATTTTCTGATATCGACATTCACGTCTGACTAATGGAATTGTGTGTCAAGTGTGTAATATTTACACTGTGTCAAAAGCTGATAAAAATTTAAGCTGCAGCAAAATGCCGTTCATATAAATTCGCATTACTGCATGTGTGTGTGTATATGTGTGTCTGTGTGTGTGTGTATGTGTGGAAAGTTGGAAAATGTCTAAGTTGATTGATCCTATTGATTTTTCCTATTTTCTCCAACACTTTGGAGTTGAAAAGCGAATAAGGATTTGTATCAGCAAACAGCCTTAAATCTGCTTTTGCCAATCGAAAATGTGAATTGAAAAAATATGGAGCCAAGGCAAGTAGAAAAGGAGACGACGTTGTGTTATATAGGGCTTTTCGCTCTCTCTTTCTCTCTCTCTCTCTCTCTTTCTCTCTCTCTCTCTCTCCTTTTGTTCTAGTTGCTTTCGATGTAAAGTTCATTTTTGGATTTTGTGCAATTGAAAGTTATTTGCTCGTGCATATGCAAACAGCCTATCTAGACAGCTTTGATTTTTGCAGAATTGTATGGAATTGCTTGCTTGGGCCTCAATATTCATGTCGGATGAAATGACCGAAATAGCAAATCTCTGGATTCATTTGTAAAGGAATTTTTATCATTTGATGGTTAGACAAAGACAACAAGACATTTTGCATAAAATGTAGCAAATCTATTCCATACTTATGCAAAATTGAGAAAGGATTACCGTTTGATGTGCTTATAGTATGAATACAGAAAATGTATAGCTGTGTTATATTATATCATTTGTTAAGGAGTTTTATACTTATTTTCACCATTCAACTAACATGATCTAATATGAATTTCTTAACTTTCATTAAGCTGTTTCTAACTTCTCTCTATTCCTTATTATTACTTCAATAACATTCTGATAAATATTTGTTGCCAAAGCACATATAAATCTGCGTTACATGTATGCTTTGCATTCAGAGAAACACAAGTTGCATAACAGCTGCCTTTTCACTCACCACAACACAGAAAGTACACCCAGTAGTTCACACACATTTATCCACATCCACATCCAGTCACCCACACCCACTTCCACCCACATACAGACTAATGAAAGATTAATCCAGCAGCAAATAACTAAGTAGATTGACAACCAAACGTGGTGCATGACAGGCACAAAGGCAGCGAGCGAAACCGCAAAATAGATGCGAATGCGAATGACGCTGACAGCGATGAGCGGGTTAATGCATTTGATGTTGCAACACCAGCAGCATCAGCAACAGCAGTAGCAGGAATAGTAGCATCAGCGGCAAATATGGCAGCAAAAACGGCAACATTTAGTTTTATGTAATGCCAGAGGGAGCGACTGACTATCCGTCTCTCTGTCTGTGCAACTGACTGAATGACTGACTGACAGAACCGCAGTCGGACATTTTAGAGCATTTATCAAAATGCCTGGCGTTTAGACATTTCTATTTGAGTGCTGCGAGCGCTTCAAACCAAACTCCCCTATGAACCCAATTCATATTCCCCAATTACAACTATCCTTCCCCCTCCCCATCCACCGTTACCCCCGCCTACCGCATTCCCCTTGCTCCCAGCCCCCAATTACTCACCTTCAATCTGCTTGCCCGCAGCAGCGGCCGCAGCGGCGCTCAGCGCAACGCTGGCTAACGGTGAGGTGGACAGTGCGGTGGTGTTTCCAAATTGCGGTAAACCAGCGGCTGTTGACATATACGCCGATGCCAATGGATTTGGATCAGACCCTGCAATAAAAAAAGACACACACACATATAAATATATATACATATACATATATATTTAGGATATCCATACACGTAGAGATAGACACATCAGTATCAGTTGCGTGCTGAGCGTAGCTTTAGCTGCTGCAGCTGCTGCAGCCCAAAGTAAATTACATTTTGGAAAACCAAAAATTATATAACGAAATTAAAATCGCGCTGCTTTCAAATTTTGTGCGTCGAGTGAGATGTGTGTGTGTGTGTGTGTGTGTGTGGGTTTGAGTGTGCATTAGCCAGATTTAGCTGGCGGTTTCCAATAAAACGTTTATATCACTCAAAATGTCAGCCTGTTGGATCTGTATATTAAGCTGTTGTAAAAGTTAGTGCTTGAAATACATTCCATTTGAAAGATATAATATATTTTGGGATGGACAAGTTTCTCACTTCTGTCTATTGTCCTCTATGTTGTCAAATTTAAATCTAGTTATATTCTACCCATTCAGCTCTATTCTCTGCACTTTAATTTTAACTGAAAACCTCTGCTATCCACTTTTCAAATTTGTCTAATACGTTTTATATGTCAGCTAAGTAGTTAATCATATTATTATTGTTATTATTATTATTATCATACTTAGTTTTGCCCTGCAGTAGTTGTTCATTTAACCTCTCTCCGCTGCCAGACGTAATTAATCATTGAGCATGACATGCCGCGAGGGCAACATTTGATTATATTTAACACAAAACACAATAATATTTACAATTAGTTGTATATATGTTTGTGTGGGTATGTTGCATTTTCTATATAAATCTAAATTTAATTTGTTGCTCATACGCCATGTGTGGCATGCACACTCGAGCGTGTGTGTGTGTGTGTGTGTGTGTGTGTGTGTGTGAGGCTGCGGCTGTGGATGTGTGACGCCTGTTGTTTGTTATTTAGTTGTTTTGCGTCGCCCGCCGTCATGCAATGCAATTTTGCGGTTTTCAGTTGCGCGAATACTTCTATTTCCCAGCCTCTCTCTCTCTCTCTCTATCTCTCTCTCTCTCTGCCAGCAGGTTGTTATTAATGAGTTTTGCAACTGCGCGTGTGTATGTATGTATGTGTGTGTGTGGTCGTTGCATGTTGACAATGAGCGTCCAGTGCATTTGATAACTAATTTGGCTAATAACAAAATATGATGTCAGTTCGTCATGGCGACTATCGAGTTAGAGCCAGACCAAAAACAGTATGAGACAGCGAGAGGGCGAGAAAGAGAGAGCGAGAGAAATGGCCAGCGACAGAGGGCAAAAACTTTGCATTTTCAGTCAAGTTAAAATTATTTCTATGCCATATAAAATTATACGAAAACTTCTTCAAAGAACTGAACTGCTACTACCATACAAACACCCACTCACACACACATACGCGCACTGCCAAACTTTTGTGAGATTTTACAGATTTAATTTCAAAAGTTTTTACCCATGTGCTGCAGGAGTAGCAACAGAACCTCCCAGATACCAGCCCACGTCGCTCAATTGTCACGCCCACCTTATGCACTCCACCTTAGGTGTTGCAATCAATTGTCCAAGGTGGCTGGGGCGAGGTAGCTGGCAACATTTTTAATTTAACAGCTTGAAATGTGAAGAGCAAAGTCTTGGCAACTTTTCTCTGTGTGCGAGTGTGTGTGGCATAAAAAATACACAGGTAATAATGTTGCTGAACAAAACAAAACGAATCGACTGCTAAATACTCTGGCTGAGACCGAGACTTCATTTATATACCTTGGTATATTTAGTATAACAACTAAAGGTAGAATTCTCAAATGTGTCTTCTCAAAATGAGATATTGAAACTAAGATTCAAGCAGTGACTGGGTTGAAGCTGTGACTTTCAAAGCATATGGTAATGCCTGGATTGGTTTTTTTACCTTGAAACATATATAAATATTAATATAAATAAGTATAATTTTAATTCTACATTTTCATTGATTAAATATAAATTGTTATATTTATGTAGAATTTATATATTTATAGTAACATTTTTCTACACATCGACATAAGTGACAAATACACAAACAAGGATTGATGGTAAACCTATGCGACCATAAGCTTCATTCGACTAGTTTTCGATATGAATTTTTTGAAAAATTATATTAATGCTTAAGTCAATATTCCACCTTTATCCCACTAAAAACAGAGTATTAAACTGACAAAAAAATAAATTAATAAAATACAGGCATATGTAGAGGCAAAAGCTAAAAGGTAACTCTAACTTCAAAGAAGTTTTGCATATTTGCCATGAAATTGAAGAAATTGTTTTAATTGCTTGTTGTTGCGACGATCTTCCCTCCCCTCCTCTGACGGAGCACAGACGCACATGAGCATTGGTTCGACAAACTGCAAACAGTAAGCTAAATATTGTATGCAACATGTTATGGCTAAGGGCTAATGCCAAAGCTCTTGACCAGGCCAATAATAACAAAGCAGGCATAACAAATTCACACACACGCACACACAGATGAAGGCAACAACTATTTGGTATTTTTGTTTGTCTGCTTTTCCCCCTCCCCCGACCCATGCATGTTAGACTTTTTAGCTGGCAAATTTGTGCAAAATTTGAGGCAAGTTTTTGTATATTTTTCTGGAATTCTCTTTTTTTTTTTTTTTTTTTTATTTGTTATTTCTGTTGTTGGCCAAAGACTTTGCCACTTGCAGGCACTTCAAGACTTTTGGCAGCTGCTATTCCTGTTGTTGTTGCTTCTGCTGTTGCTGTTGATTTTGAAGTGCAAAGAGCGAAAAAGCGAATAAACAAACGTAATGGAGAGCCATGTTGAGAAGAGAGCTGAAAACGTGTTTGTTAGCAGAGGGGCGCGGGCGTGTGCAGGCAACGCAACTCTCCCCCAAATAAAGGAAAAAAAGAGAAAGAGGAAGAAAAATGAAACTGTATGCAGCAGTTGAGGGTTTATAAACTACATAGTTTACAGCACTTCACAAAACTTTGATTAAGATTTTCGTTTGTTGCTTTTCCCTTTTGATTTTGTTTTCTCTTTTCAACTTTTTGTTTCTATTTCGTTTGCCCAAAAAAAAAAAGCAAAACTTTGAATTGGTTGCGTTTGAGATTGTAGCGGGATTTTGTTAGATTCCATTGTTTTGATGGGGTTTCTTGGAAGGAGCTAGGATAATGGTTAATAAAAACCAGCGATGGCGCGTGTTGAAAATTTTGCTGTTGCACACAAAAACGGATTAGGTTCATGAAGAAGGGGCAAGGTAAACGATAGTTGATTTTTAATTCGGAAAATATGCTACACACTTATGCTATATATCATTAAATATGTACTTTAGTTATATTAGAGTTTGTTTTCAATTTAAATAGATTATATTTTGATATCCCTTAACGTGACGGTTAGAGTGAGCTAGCGTAAGTTGATTTTCGCTTTTGAATTTATCGTTTTCATTTGCCATCAATGACCTCTCTCTGCCTTTCAGACCGTTCGAAATCGAATATGAAATTCACACTTTATGTCATTTAGCCAGTCAATTGGTTAACGCTGAGCTGATAACTATTGCTCTGATGGTAATAAACTACAACGATATTATAATACGTTTTTATCGCTTTCCTCTCTAGCCACATATATCTCTATCAACATCCCACTTGTTTTCGCATATCCGCCCTCTACATATTCCCATTTTCAGCTCCAAAAATATCTATAGACTTTCATTCTAAAATCAATATTGCAAGCGTTATCAATATTTTCGGCTATCTACCAATTACACAAACTTCAATTGTCAATCTACACACACACAAATTTTCGCCCATTTATCGATGCTATCGCCATGTGCGCCTAAAACTGTACAATACCAATTTACACACAGCCAAATAAACACACATACACATACACTATGAGAGCTGGCAACAATTATGAGCCAATCTGTGCGCACATATTGATATTTTGCAACGAGTTTTGCGTTGCGTTTGCGTTTGCCATAAACAATTTGCAGCAAACAAAAGCCTCGGGCACAATTTGTTTGGCCACTTTATTACAACAACAAAACAATTTTATACAGACACACATCGAAACAACAACACCAACAACAACAAAGCCTGTTCATATAGAGCACTAGAGCAGCAACAGAAAAATGTGATTTTCATGTCGAGTTTATGTTGCAGTTGGCTGCAAATGAAAAAAAACAAAAATCTCGCAAATTTTCTTGTACATTACTTTCTTCATTTATGGCAAAGCAGAAGTTGACTTGATGCTGGGCATAAGATTGTGGAGAAGTAGTGGAGACAGTCTCCAAGGAACGTAGGCGCATCCCAAGAACCAGAAAGTTAAGGTTTTGCTGCCTTCTCGACCGCCGCTCGACAAGAATTTTTAATATTTCATTAAATTAAGTGCCTTGGAAATCGTTCAAGTGGCACACAATGAGCACGCACAAGTGCACAGCAGCGCAGGGGGCGTGGCTGGGCAAACAGAACTGTATTTGTAGTTTAGGCAGACACGAAAAATCCGCTTAAATATCCCTCTGTATGTGCGAGTGTGTGTGTATGTGTTGTTTTGTTGGCATTTCTCTGGTTAAGTCAGGCACTTTTTTCCTTTCACGGTTCGTAGCTGCTCATGAAATTAACTTGGTAATGCGCAGCTTAGCCAGCTAAATTCGGTTGGCCAGCATTGCCAAGTGGAAGAGGGCAAGGGATTGGAATTGGGCTTGGATTTCCTCTTTTGGGGTTTTCTTGTTTCGTATTAAAAAATTTAACAATAGCTGCGTCAGGCAGCATCTCAAGCCAAAAGCAAATGCGATAAGCGAACGAAATTGTGGAGAGCGAGCGAATGGCTAATGACATTTTTGTGTTCAAAGAGGTCTAAAGTACTACAAATACAATTCAAAGGAGGTACTGAACAAGTACAGTTTGTTATCGATATTCGATTGTTATCAAAAGATTGAGAGCAGCAAGGGTCTATAGAAAATTATTTGCTAATTACACCTTCAGGGCTAAAGATTTTAAAGTATTATTATCGATAAATATCGATAATATCAATATTGAGCGTGAGACAACTTTTAGCTCTTTAATTTAGGAAAACTATATTTCAGGTATTTTACATTTTTCAGTCATAGTTCGAGTATTTTATATATATGATTTAATTGTCTCACATGTAAAGCATTATTTTCATGGACACATCTATATATTAAATCAATATTATCAATTTTACTGCAATCTTTTAAATAGATCGTTTAGAGCCTAGCATGATAGTAGGACGACTATCAATCGAACCATGGAATGCTTACAGCCGAATATTAAACAGTCATTTATAATTTTACTCTATTTTCTACCCTTTCTCTCACAATAAACAATAATATTCCATATTCTTATATTCCTTATATCTACTTTCTATATTCATTTATACATCTGTAGTGAAGCAACACAATAAATTTTAAAATGCCTGTCAGCTCTTACAATTGCAACAATCCTTAATTGGTTTTATAACTGTCTAGGCCAGCATTTTCTTAGGAGCCATATTTTCATGGCTGTCCATTGAAAAATGCAGGCCCAGTTGTTGGCCATAATTCTTTCTGCAACTTGTAGTTCAGCCACATTCGTTTTTATTGCGCTGCCGTGTTGAGGGAGCTGTAACTGCTACTTTATACTGTCGGTCTGTCTCTGTTTGGCTGAGTCTGTTCTGGTCTGGTCTGGTCTGGTCTATAAGCCTGCGCCACGTGACAGATAGCAAATTCTTAACTGGGGAGTTGCACAAGTGATGCTGAAGCATTGCAATTTGCTCTAAAGCGAAACGCGGCTAAAAGTCAATAAGGCCAAAGTTCTTAATGCGCCCCACTACCCGCTCAAGTCCTGCTGCTGCTGCTGCTGCTACTCTGTTGCAATAAGTTCCGTGTTGTTAATTTCTGAAGAGAGTGTAACTTGTAATTTTGTACGCTCCACGTTCTACGGCTTCTCGCTTGACTGTTGCAGCAACTGCTGCTGCTCCCGGCTCCTGCTGCTGCTGCTGCTGCTGCTGCTGCTGTTTTACAGCCATCAACTACAGCGCGTGACGTAAACGACGACGTAAAACAGCAGCCACGTGAGCGCTGCAGAGCGTAAGTGACGCTTCGTTTGCTTTAAATGTCAAGTAAAATAACCATTATTAATATGATTCTTTTTCATTTCGCATAACGATAAAAACGTAAAAAAAAAGAAAAAAGAAAATCTAAAAAGTTCACAACCGAAAATGGCAAGCGATAAGCGTAACTGAAGTATGTCAAAATCAGGCAACAGAAAAACGTTTTCATGACAAACAGCTCTCTCACCTGTTGTTTTAGCAGCCGCCTTTTTTCGTATCAGAGCTGCTGTATATATTTATAGATATATCCCACGTAAATTTGTTAGCGTGTTAAGATAAGAATCAGTGAATATATTATTAGTTCTAACGGTATTATTTTAAAGTCTAAGCTGCAAAACAAATTAATCAATCGGCTTCACTCAACTGAAATAATTATGGGAATATTCGAAGCTGTTGAAACCAGAAGAAGAATAAATAATAATCTATCCAATTAAAATTCCATAATTAAAAGCAAAATAGGCTTATTTATCTGAGGTAGGAGATAAAAGTAAATCAAAGTTCTGCAATTCCAAGAAATCAATTTATATATAGACATATAAAAAATTCAAGAACCCATTAAGTCTTTGTAAAAATAAACCATGAAACCCCAATATCAACTGTCAACAAAATAAAAGATAAGAGCTGAATGTAATTAGCCCAGTCATTAAAACCGATTACCAGGACAACAAGAAACGGAACTCAACAAATTAGGGGAGTAGAAACATAAATAATTGGTAATCGAAAAAGAAACAGTGTTGGAAAGGGCTTCAAAGCGAAGCATACAAATTGAGCCTCAAGTGGAAATATTTCCACGGAAATTTTTACTGGCAGCTGTCAAAAGTCGGACACAAATCCATTCACTGAGTGGGGTGCAATTAGAGGAGCTCAAGTCCGTTTAAAAATAACGAATTTAGCTGATTAGTGAAGGGTTTTTTGAACAAGTGTGTGTGTGTGTGTGTGTGTGTGTGTGTGAGTGTTTATATATGTGTGTGTTAGTAGACTTACATAAAAGTGCCGCTGTGTTTGTCAACTGTGCGCTGCCTGGCGAAGTTGCCGCATTGGTCAAACTCGGTTGCGTCATGGCGGCAATGGCTGCCAAGTTCTGTACAGAAAGCGGATTCAATAGACCAGCAGCGGCGTTCGTTGTGTCTTGCGATGAATTATTTTGCTGAGCGGCACCCAGGCCTGTCAGTGCTGCAAAGGATTAGAAGAGATATATGCGTTAGTCATTAAATTGTATATATATGTAATTGTATTACTAAGAATTATATATTATTATGTAAATCCTGATTATCTTATAAGTCGCTAAAATTTAAAAATCTTTCTGCATTATATTTAAATACGTCTTTGTTTTTAGCATAGATTTTAAGTCTAAAATCAATAATTTTTTTCATTCTACTAGAATTTATATTGCTTAATCAGTAAAGACTTGGGCTTGGTATTCTCATTTTTCTGCGTTAAAATATTAGCTAACATTTTGAGTTCCTTATTATGATTGTTTGATAGCAGATTTAGCACTGATAACACTTGAAATCTCGAAACTGGATGCCACACTCGCCTTGAATAAAAACTGGCTTCCACCCACAAGCTAAAGCTAAAATATCATATGCATTGTGCATATAAACTAATATAAGGATATTCACCTTGCAGCAGCTGTTGCTGCAGTCCAACTGTTTGCAGCTGCTGCAGCAACTGAATGCTGGCGGGCGTCAGAGCATCGGCGCCCATTACCGGCGACGGTTGTTGCGGTGGGTTTGGCAGTATCGGTGTGGAAACTGTGGTTGGCGTCTGGCCGAGTGGTATATTAATATTGGTCGCCAGATTCCATAGATTCGCCTGTATTTGCTGTATCTTCTTCTGTTCCTTCTCCTTTTGGGTATCGGCAAATTTAACAACCAGCGGCGATGTGCAGCCCTCCATGATTTTGTTCTGACTCAAGGTCTGCAAGGAAGGTAGTGTATATTATTATGTATATACTATATTAGTTTTTAAATCTTAGACCTACCACTTTAATGGCTGAAATGGCAGCGTGTTTGGTCGCGAATGTGACAAAGGCACAACCCTTGCTCTGGCCGTTCTGATCGCGCAGCACTGTGCACTCTTCGATGGCGCCGTGAACTTCAAATAACTTACGTACGTCGTTTTCGTTCAGCTTCTTATTTAGCATGCCAATAAACAGTTTACGTTCTGCAAGAATTATAGAAGAGATAAAAGTGCGTGAATTATCAGTGAATGGCAGATAATGCTTTAGTAAAATTACATCAATATTTTTAGAGGGAGCAAGAGTAATTTGTAATTAGGAAAACAATATTAATATGTTTGAAAAGATGATAAACAATTTAACTTTCATATTTCAAAAAAAAAAAGAAAGAAAAAAAAGAGTAAACAATATCTGTATGAATTTAAGCCATGAGTAAACATAATAATTTAATTTAAAATATAATTGAAATTCAGTTCGAAAAGACAACTTGATTGATTGAGACTACAAAACAAAATCATACTCGTATATAGTTCAAATGGGAGCAAAAAGGTAGAGTAGTTCGAGAAATAGGCATCTTAAAGTCCAAATACCCTTACATCATTATTATCATTACTATCATAATTGTGTTAACCTCGACCTTGGTAACATAATCGCAGCATTAAGCGGAATGCATGCGGAAGCGCTAGCCACAGCCTTCAAATTGAACACACACACACACGTACACCGACACCCACAGCCACTCACATGCATTACCCGACACACACTCAAGGTGTAATTGAAAACCTCAGTTCAAGTCTGTGTCTGAAGACCGCGAAGCTATCAAATGACAAGGTTTGGGGTTTGTGATATTGTCAGCGTCATGCGCAGCAGCAGTCAGCAGTCAGCAGCCAGTTGACCGTCAGTTGGTTAACCCAGTTTCAGCTCTCATCTCAGATCCACGATGCAGAGCAGAGCGTGGGCAGCGGCTCTTGCATTTACGCAAATTTAACAATGCTCAATTAATTTGGCATAAATTAAAATTCGCTGTGCAGCTGATAAAACTAATTGCAGCACATTTAACATGCAGCCAAATATTTGCTAAGGACACACAATATGGGCGTGGCGCAGAACTAGCTAGCCGAGCGCCCCTGCACCGTAAAATTGTCAGCTAATTTATTTGCACAAATACAAAAGAGCGCAACTGGCGAAATTAATTGTTATCAAATATGCAATTGGCTGGGACAATTGCAGTTGCAGTTGCAGTTGCAGTTGCAGATGCAGCAACAATTGCTGCAGCTACTGCTGCTGCTGGTGCTCCTCCTGCTGCTGCTAAATAATGAATTTAGCCTAAATGCAGTTCATTAAAATGCAATTTTTTCACGCTCTACAATCGGCATTAAAGTTAACAAATTAGCTGTTGGCTAAAATCGACTGAACTCTTTGTAAGGGCAGAGATAAAAGTCTATTAGGCTGTACTGTATTTAGAGTAGAGAATTAAATAGAATTTATATATGTATATGCCAGTTAGATACAAAATTACATATACTACAATCTATTGTATGAGTATAGGCAATTTGTATGATAATTATAATAAACAATAACTTAATGTGAAATTAAACATACCTAGCATATTATTCAAATTTAAAATTGCTTATAGATTGTTTACTGCACTATAAGCCAACCTAACAAATCCATTTTCCATCAATTCAGCAAATCAATTTCTCTTGCACAAAAATAGTATGCACAATCACTTCAACCTTATAGTACTTGAAGCAAATACCCTAACTAACGATTCAATTAATTATTCAACTTTCCATACATAACATCTCTATCACCCTCAACATGTTTCATATTAAATGATGAAACTCTAAAGTACTTGGGTGGCAAGCCCATTAATATTTTTTCCATCATCTTTTGCTCGATATTCACTTTTAAGCCCTATTTCTAAAATGTTGCAATTATTTTTTTACACTGCTAGCAAATTTTCAATTGTTTCGAATTATAATTGTTTTATCGCTTGAACGGCGCAATCAAATTTTTGGGCAACCGAATTTCCAATTTTATTGTTTATAATTGCCGCAGCCAAAAACCAAAAACTAATAAAAACAAAAAAGCCGAAATTATGAATATTATAATAATTATGCACATTTATTGTGACCGAAATCTGTTTTGGCGAATCAATTAAAATTTTAAATTCCTATCGATTATTTGCTCACAAATTAAAGTGGAAAATAGTTTCCGCTTTTTGTCAGCATTTAAACATCTCATCAGCATTAGATATTCAGTTAACAATCTAAGCACCACAATAGTTATGCAATGGTGCATTACATTTGTACTTCAATGTTATGGCACAATTATAATGAGGTGAGCTACAATTATGTATCTGAAAATAGGGGCTGCTACACCTCCTAGAACTTGCCTCACACTTTTCTCGCATTACGTGCTGCAATGCAGCAGCCGTAACTGCCGCATCATCATCTATATAGGGACGGTCCCCCTATCAGCGCTGCCCAACAGCAATTCCTTTCGGCACTTGCTACTTGAATTGCCATTCCGAGAGCTGCTGCATCATCATCGTTATCAAATGCAAACCGCCGACTTTGCGCCCCCAACCAGCAGCAGCAGCAGCAGCAGTAGCAGCAGCAGCAACACCACTTGCATTATTATTATGATTATTGCAGCTGCAATAGCGAAGGCTAACTGCACTTCAGCTATATTATCATAATCCCAGTTGTAGCCAACAACAGCAGCAACAGCATCAAGCGTAGTAAGCTTAGAAAAAAATTTCAAATTCATTGAATTTGATGCGTTTCGATGTTTTGTGGGAGGGGGGATGGGATGGAATGGGATGCGGCATAAACTGTAACTGCCAGCAGTTGGCTTAAAAGTGAAGCTCCACCACAGACCCTTATGCCACATTTTGTTGCAATCGAAATAAAATTTGCTGCAGCAATGACTTTTGCGCTTGTTACACCATAAGTAAAAGCAGCCAGCCAGATAAGTTATCAGAAAAACAGTAAAACTATACAATTGTAGTTGGGAGCATTACAATACTTGTATATTATGGTCCCATATATCATACTTTTATGATGTGATGTTATATATAATATATATAACACATTTCATAGATATGGTTAACAAATAGTTTACAGAATTGAAACCTTATTCCACTCGAAGGGAACTTTAATAACCTCTTTGCGATTTAATCTGTCTAATATGCATCTATAACATATATCCTCCCTTGCACATCTGCATTCAATCATAACTCTCTCCCTTTCTCTCTCCCTCTGCTGCTTTCTATTAAATTTGACCAACTCCTTTGGTAATTTTCCTATGAAAGCCAACTTTATAAACTCCAATTTAATTTCATATTTAATACTTAGAAAATGGTTTACTCCAACTTTAAGCCGTGTGTCCGGCTGCATACGACCGCCCACCTGCCACCCATCCTTCCTTTGCAACGTGCTTCTAGCATCTTTGGCGCCTCTATTTTAAATATTAATATTGCCATGGGCTATGGCCGGTGCCGTTGCCTCGTCTGGGTCCAAGACTCCGCCAGTACACCCTAATGCAACTAATCTGCTTCTAGTGGCGCACATTAAGTGTTGCCACGCTTTCGACTTTAATTTGAAAACATAAAGCATGACGCTGCAACTGCACCTGCAGTAGAGCCAGTGGCAGCAGCTAAAGTGCGGCCACTTGTGCACACACACACACACACATACACCCCCTCCATACATACACACACCCACATTGGCAGCCATTTTGCATGCAACTCAACTAACCGAGCGACCACTCAAACCAAACAAAACCCAACCGAACCGTAGAAAAACCAAACGCATTGCGCCGCCATGACATCGACTCAGATGATGCTGCTAGATGATGGTGCAGGATACAAAATTTTATAAAATCCATGCAATACGCAGACCTTTACCTTCATTAGTTTAATTAAATTCAATTTTAGTTAAATTTAAAAAAAATTAACATTAAAAAAACAAAAAAAAATAGAAACTTGAATTTCAATTCCAAAGCGAGATTAGGCAGAAATATTAACTTCGATAGAATAAAAAAAAAATAAAGCTCATTTGAAAATATAAAAATTAAGAACATAAATTAAAAAGTATTTAATTTAGAAATGCACCTTATTTTGTATTTCAAAATTAGGAAATTGTCGTATTTATATTTCTTATTTTTATATTTTCAAATTAGGATTTTTAATTTTTTTTATCCATATTCAAATCCTATAATTTTTTATTTTTGTTTTTTTTTTTTTTCTAAAAAGTCAATTGAACATCAAGTATAAATTGATATGTTTCAAATAAATCATTTACAATTAATAGACATTTTAGTTGAATCTGAATCAATTAAATATATTTTTCTTTTTCAATTTAGTATATAATACGAAATGTAGGCAAGCTTTTCTCTCTCTCTAATTTTTAGCAATATTTTCCCCACCACTCGCGCACAATTTTTGGGCGTGAAAATGGAAAATATTACCACTGTGCGGCAGGTGCGACTCTATTCGCAATTGTTGATTCCGTATGTAAGCGGGTCATATTTGCCCGTTGTCGAGGCAAGAGGGTGTTATGGGTGGATGGTTGGGGAATGAGTAGGTTCCGGAACCGGGGCTTAGCTTATTTATGTCACAAATATGAGCAGCGAGCTGCAAAGCGAGCGAGTGAGCGCGTCGTACGCAATGGCACGGCTGGTTAGCCTCGGCTTGGCTGCGTTTTTGCCTCTGGTTGGATGGTTCCGGGCTGGATGCTGGGAGGGGGGGGTGGACAAATGAAAAACTTAAGGGAAATGAGGGCGAGTAAGAGAGAGAGAGAGAGAGATGAAGGTTGAATGGTTGGCCTGGCTGGTTGGCCACTTTGCATGCATCGCTGCGTGTTTGGCATATTTAACAAATTTTCACAAAAATAATGTAACGCCCGATGCCACCACGCCCACATGCCCACTACTTGTCGTTGTGGTTGTTGCTGTTGTTGTTGTTGTTCGGGCTGTGGTTTTCATTTCTCACATATGGAGTGCAGCAGCAGAGCAACTACGTAGAACTGGTTAGCTGGCTAAAATCTAATCAAGCGCTGCGGGCAGCAACCAGCAAACTTATCAATAAACCACACACACACACACCCAGCACACATACATGCACACACAGTTAGCAGCAACCCTCAGCCATCCCCGATAAATTTGCTAGCAATTTTGGCCAGGGCGACCAAAAAAAAAA